TGTTATTATTACTATTAATTAATTTAAAATTACCTTAATTTATATAATTAATTATATATTTGTTCAAAATCCAACAAAATAAAAATTAGTACAAATACATGTGAAACTCATAAACGAAGAAGCAATAAAACTAAAATTTTTTTTGTGCATTTTTTCTTTCCCTTTTACACAGTTGTTCCTCCCATAGCAATGATGAACCCAACACGAAGTGATAACACAATCTGCACTATCAACAAAAAAGAGCAAAATGACATATAATACTATATAGTTTTGCAAGTAAAATGTAAAAAATCTGATTCAATATAAAGCTCTTGCCTTGACAAGGTCTTCCACATATATAAACGACACCTAGGGGACACTTCACTTGGCGAAGGGCATCAATAGCTTATGAGTCTGTCTTGAACTTCTCACATTCATCAGTATACACCAGTCGTATCGGTCTCCTTGAATTCTACTCGTTTAAAGAACATGAAGAGGATCCTACATCAACTAACTTTTGCATCGTCATCTTCTTTCTCTTTTCACTTTTGATTGTTTTGCTTTAGAGTAGCTTAAAACTTCCGTCTGTATTGGAACATTGAGGGATTTTAAGATGGAAAGGGAAGCTGAAATTGTCGGGTGATTTTGATTCACTCTTAAATTCTTTATAATGATAAAATATTTTATACTTTTGATTCTTAAAAATTTTCTTTGATTTCTTTTTAAAAGTTTCTAAGTCAAATATGTTAAACAGTAAAAATATTTTAAGAGCACTCATTGTTTGTGACTTTTGGTATACTTAAGATGCTCATTCAACCCTGAATTTTTAGAATATTAATAACATTTTTGTCATCATGTAGTTTTATTTTACAGACAAATTAAATTTAAGTAATATAAATAAGAAAAATAATGTAACGAATAATTTTTCTTTTAGCTTTTTGACTAATAAAACGATAACTTAAATAATGTAAAAAAATATATATGCAAGAAAAAATTACATGTGATTAGCTTGAAATCTCAACTCTGTAATTGGTTATATTAATTTAACATTACAACCGAAAATTATTTAATAAAATTAGAATTTATATTTTTATTCAAGTCCAACACCAAGGGGACAAATTTTAAAGTGAAGCCAAATCTTTAACCTTCAATTTATAAAAATATAAACGTATCACCCGTCCGAATTCATGTGTATAGTCAGACTTTAAAATAAAAAAAAAAGTTAAAATAATAAAAATAATAATTTATTTATATTTTAATTAAGAATTTATTAAAATTATTGGATAATTTTACCAAATAAATTTTTCAAAAAACATTTTATTTATCAATTTATATTTCAATTAAAAAAATCCTTAGAATTTAATTTTTAAAATTATTGGTTATTTTACTTAATAACCTTTTCAAAATAATATTTTATTTATCCCTTAAAAAGTTAAAACCCTGAAAAAAAAAAAAAAAAAAAACATAGAGTAGTCTAAGAGATTTTTTATTTTAGGCTTTTTTCTGCAATTTTTTTTTTATAAAAAAATTAGATGCATCATAACACTCCTTAACTTTTGTTCTTTTCCATCAAAGTCAGATTAAAGCTAGAGTGAAAAAAAAAATCTTAATATATCCTCATAAAAATTCCAAAATTTCTTATAAATCATAAAATTTTTACTCCATTTTTCAGTAATATCTTTATATTTGTATTGTATAGAAGACATGATTCATCAGCAAAAGAACTAGAAAGCTCTGGCATGATGAAACTTCCAAGTCCCAAGCGAGACATTATGCAGAAGCAGCTTAGAATGTCATTTTATGTGAAATTGCAGCAATCACAAAATAACAAAAACCATACTTACATTTTCCCCGAAACTTGAAACATCATTTTCTCTTAGCCCCTCTAGTTTGACACTTCTTTCAGAACCTTCTGATCTCCTCTGGACCCGTTTGACCCAAACCCATGAGTAGATACCATGACAAGGCCCCGCCGCCCACCCACGCACTCTTAAACTCCACTTATTCTTCTATAAAAATGTAAATTCCGAGCTCTCCCTACATTTGTGCATACTTCTATGAGAAAAACTGATCTTACACCTCCGTCTACAAATGGATCTTAATTCGCATTCAACCCAAAAACAGGAAAACAAACGACTCACCCAAGACCAGCTCATGCTTTTGGAGAAAAGTTTCAACACTAATCATAATCTCAACACAGAGAGGAAGCTTAAGCTTGCCCAAATGTTAGGCCTTCCGCCAAGGAAGGTTGCAATCTGGTACCAAAACAGGAGAGCTAGGCAAAAAACACACACCATAGAGCTTGATTACAAGACCCTTCAGCTTGAGCTGGACAATGTGTTGGCAGAAAAGACAAGGCTTGAGAAAGAAGTTGACATCCTCAGGCATCAGCTAGACACGACTCGATCGATGCTGCTTCAATCTAACCCATCTGCTGCCATTCGTCTTCCTTCAGGCTCAAGTTGCATTGATGAAGATCATGCAAGCTCAAACTGTCCTGCCAACATGACTTTTAGTCATAATGATGATAGCATATTTATAGTGGAGGAACTTTATTCTTGTCTAATTGGCCCTCAAGGACAACCGCACACAATTGGGGCAGTCAACAATCTGTTGGATTGCTCGGCGGTACCTCAATGACTTAACTATGCTCCTGTAACTGCAGTTAGGCGATTTCTGAAAGTTGTTTTCCCTGTTTCTAAAATAAAAGAGATATATAGATAAATGTATTTGATTTAGTGCTTCCATCAGCAGTTATTCAAACAATCATTGCTATTTAAGAAATACCCAGTAAATTAAATTAATTGACTTGATTTCAGTATCAGTACATTGTGTGAATTCCAACTTTGTCTTCCCATTCTCCCATAACTTACAGAAAGAGTCCACTAATCATACAGAAAATGCACTTTTTAACCAGCGCGGCGGCCATGAGGTTCAAAACCTAACCTGCTCAAATTTCAGTATCTACAACCCACGTCAGACTCTTGTCAGTTGAAAACTATGTAAGACAAACTGAGAGAACGCTTGCACTTGCAATTCAGTACCTGTGCCAGCGTCTGCCTTGCCAAGACAAATAAAGGTAGCCAGTTAGACTTGTTCATCGTCCTCGACAGCAGTCAAGCCATGTCCCACTTCATTACTCTCCTACATCAACACTAAATAAAGACAAAATGAAGGTCAGCCAATTGGATAAGCCTTTGAAAAACGTCTGCCATCTCTGTCCAATTAATGAGCAAGTTGAGCTCCAAGTTGCCAAAGGCAGCCTTCCACTTTCTACTGGGCACTAATACCATTATATTCCCATGCATGCATGTCTACAACTATCCAATCAGGCCCACATATCACATCTCTACAATTTGTTTACTTGGACGCATCTATGCATAAGTTCACAACATCATTTCCTTTTTCAACCAGAAAGGTTCCCCAGTTGGAACACCATTTACTTCTAAGAAAGTTGTGGCACAATACAAAAATGATAAATTAAATAGACAAACTTAAATTTTACAACTACTCACCCTGTAAGTCTCTGCAGAAATGATACTACCAAGGGCTTGAAGTTTATTAAAATATATTCATGTTTAAAAGTTAAAAAATTCAGCTTTGAAAATGACAGAAAATCTGCATTTTCAAAATGATACTGATTCTATTTCTAATGAAACACAATATTAGTTGGGTATGGAATCTGAATGAGCAACCCCCGTTTCATGTATATTCTCTTGAGAGTGGCAGAACTAGAAACAGGCAATGGTAGTGCCAAAACTCCTTAAGTTGGAGGTTGTGGGTTCAAGTCTGCAGACTCAAACATAAGGTCTATCCTAAAACTGGATTTCAGTCCCTTGTGATGAGCTTCAAACAATTAAAAAGAAATAACAATTATCACATCCAAAGGTAGGGAAAAATAAAAAGTCATAAGATGGCTCTCATTCCAATATTTCCTATGCATACCAAATACTTTTTATAGTAAAAGCTTTCCACATATCCTGTATATGTACTGGAAGATGAATTTCTTGCAGATAGTTTAGTGGTCCATATTGAGAGGGAAATTGCTGAGAATTTTAGCTCTGACTTCAAGTCTCCAAAAGTGCGTCAAGCAGCCCTTAACAAATTTTAGTTGAACAGTTAATAAGTTTTTAACCTAATATTTCATTAATTATCTCCTTTAGATTTGACTTTTTCTAAGAATTTTATCTTAGTTAATAAAATTGAAGTTCAAGCTCCGCCACTGTTTTTTTTTTTTGTTGAAATACAAGCTCCGCCACTGTTTATAAGTAAAGTTCATTTATGCAATAAAATGACAACCTCTGCAATTATAAATCAAAGTCAAAGAAAGCCCCACAAATACAGAAACAAATATCAAAGCCTTTACATGTAGAATTATGCACATGTATTTCTTGAATAAACCACCCAAGTCCCAATTGAACATGTTTTCTTTATAGAAAAATAAATGTCATTAATGAGAAAAAAGATATAACTACAATGGCAAAGAATAAGAAATGTCTTGTTGAGTCTGCTTGTAGAAAGCTCAACACACCCACAGCATACAATCAAACCCACGGATAGTCCGGATATTATGGACTTCCAACTTCTATGAAGCACAGGAATGAAGATGCATAAGAAAATTAAAAGAATCCCAACAGCTTATAGGCAGAGTTTCAATTTTACATGGCTACGTGTAAAGTTGTATATGGTGCACTATCAAAGAAAGAGCAAAACTGAAGTCAAAGCAACTAACTCTTGTTTTTACATTTAATCCAACACTTTCGTGTTCAAACAACTTTTTCACAAACAACATTCATAACAAGAAAGATGGCAAGGATAATAACAGGTGTTTTCCTTTTCTTAATGGAACACAAGAACAGATTTAAACAGAAAGAAATTACCAGTTCCTCTAATTTTCCGTTCTTAAAAAAAAAAGGGAAAATAGCACCATTTTTTTAGGTCTAATAGAAGATTACTCCAAACACATCACAGCCAGAGCCACTTCGCATAAGAAAAAAAGACAGCCTTGTTAATTTAATCAGCTCAAGACATCTATCAGTATTCAATCACAACATACAAACTGTTATCTATCAGATTAATTAAATTCATTTCCATTTTTTTTCCAGGTGAGTTTCTTCATACTTCATTAAGAATGATAGTGATAAGAATAGTATAAAAAATTACCCTACTTCTTCTTCCTCAGTATATACACATTCGTCTCTTCATAGGCGTAATCGGGGTGCAAGTCCTCATGAGGAACCTTCTCGATAACGAAAACGCTATCGCATAATTCCCAAAACAGCTTATCGGCCTCTGGCGATCTCACCTGGTAACCCAAAAGCACAGCACCATCATCCGCCACGAGCGCTTCCATGGCCCCCACCAGCTGTCCTACGGATTCTTCGATGTATACCACATCGGCGGCGATTACCAGATCAAACGGCGGATTCAACGCCCTGATCTGTTCGCGATTGTTCCAGTACAAGATTGACGTCTTTAGTGCCTTTCCTAGGGCACGCTTGTTGCGCTTCAGGTTGTGCTTCAAGGCGGGCATGACCGGAGCAATATCCGTGAGGACGATGTCTGTTAGGCCGAGAAGGTGAAAAGCCATCCCCGCAGCTCCGCATCCAGCGCCGAGCTCAACGGCGCGGCGAGCGCGGAAGTCGAGGAGGTGAGAGTAGGGACCGTGTGGGGTCGTGTCCGGAGCGGGTGGGGCCCAGCGGTCGACGAATTTTGCGAGGACGAGGGAGCAGGGCCAGACGGAGGTGCCGACGTGCATGGAGCCATTGTCTTGCTGGAGGGAGAGGTCCACGCCGCGAACCGACAGCTCTACCACTGGTGAGTCCGTAAATTTCATTTCCCCGTCGTCTCTGTTTCTACAGTCTCCGGTCTTGCTGTGTGCCTGTGACTTGTCCTGTGTCACCGTGGGTTTTGTTTGGGTTTTTATTTATTTTTTGTTTTTTAATGTTTGGGTCAAAATGGGCTTATACGAATACGGGTGGGGCGGGTCGGGTAGATTGGATCTAGTAACCGGGCCCATCAATAACTTGGAAACTTTAGGATTTAGGACTAATGGGCTCACTTATTAAATGTGGGCCTGGAAGAATTTATTTAGCAAAAAGGGACCGTCAGTTAAAATTTAAATAATGCTACATCTATCCAATTATTTTCTTCAAATCTAAAATGATACAATTTAAGTCCGTATAAACATTAAAAAATTATGTTTCAAATTTAATCAGGATTTGAAATGTATTGTTGATACACACACGTACTTTTTTTTAATAATTAAATTAAATTAGATATAACTTCATAAATTGATTCCATATAATTCTTAGGTTGATTGTGAAAATTCTCAATTAAAAACGTATAAAAAATGGTCTTGTATGGAATTCTGTTTGGAACTTTTCAACTAATAAAAATTAAAATTTATCATTTCATCAATTTTTTAAAAAAAATTATCTTCACATAATTAGCCATTATTTTTTAAGTAAGTACAATTTTAGAAACAAATTCATAACATTTTTAAATTTTACTACTAGATGTAAGGTGATTTAATTTCAAGAAAAAGAGAAAGAACGTTGAGGAGTAAAATGTAATACTCCCTCATTCTTTTTGGGTTTTGCCTATTTTTGATTTGAATGAACTTTAATAAAGGAAGAAAAAAAAATATATTATCAGAATTTAACTTTACCAAAAGGTTTTCTAATGTTGCATGGCCTACAAAGTATATGAACCGCTTTTATATTGTATATGTTTGTAAAGTATGAGGCGGGGGGGGGGGGGAGGAGGGGAAATGCTACCATTGTCTAACCTAATTATTCATAGGTCATTTGAAGTTTTTACATTCTTTAATTATAATTAATTTCCCTTGATATCATTGAAATAATAAAAGTTGATATTATAATATATATATATATAAGTGAAAATTGAAATTCACTAAATTTTTTGAAATTACTTTTGATAAATTTTTAAATTTTTTTTTAAATATTGTATCAAATATGTTTTTCTTTTTTAAATTAAAAATTAAAAATAAAGTGTAAACTTTTAAATAAATTTTAGGTTGTAGTACTATTTATGAGACCTATTGTCTCAATGTTTACTTCCACCCATCCCTTACTAGTTAAGCAAAGCCCATGTGACACTTAAATTGTTGCCAAGCCTATTTCTTAGGCAAATAAGTGGAGGCTTTACAAATTCATCCCACATATATGACCTTTTCCATCTTAGCTATTTTGACAATAAAGAAAAAAATAAAAATAAAAATTGAAGACTTATTTCACTCTAACCCGGTTTGGTAAAAGTGCTTTAATAAAATAATTTTTAATCAATAATTTTTTATTGTGAAAAAACAATAAATATTTAATAAAATTTATGTAAAAGTGTTTTTAATATAAAATGCGGTATTATATTCTATTTATTATGTTATAAAATTAATAATAAATATTAAAATCATAAAAATTAATACTAATTTCAACTCAATTGATTGTATATCTCTTTTAGTAGAATAATTCATTATCTTTATGATCACAACCACTCTACTATTTTAAGTTTTTAATAAATTTTAACGATTTTTAGCATAAAATTTATATCTATTAATTAAATAACTTGTATATCTCTGTGTTATTTCAAATTGATCACGAGATAAACATATGAGATCACTTGTGACTCAGTTCACTTCTTTCCTACTCTAAAATTACAATTGTTATTTAAGGTAGCCCTTTAAAATGGTATTCGGAAGATTTTTGCTAACAAAGCTTTATACAAACTAATTTCTATTTGCATAGATTTATCTTTAGTGATGAAATTGTATTTGTTATAATTTTTTTTTTTTTTTTTTTTTTTTTGTGGTTTAGAAATATAATCGTCAAATAGGGATATGGGTAAAAGGGGAACCATTAAGTATTTGGGTAGAAACACTAAGTTCTCTTTATGTTAAATTGATTGGATTCTTTCCTATTAAGCATATTTTGGAAACTAATACAATTTTTATTCAAACTTTACTAAGAAGAACACAGTTTAATTAATTTTTTTTATATAGGATAGATGTCAAATTTAAAAAATAAAGTCTAATGACTCGAAAATAAGTAGTCAAATTGATAGGTACATTTATTATCTTGATCATCTGAATTTGATTATTATTCATGGCGTTACAAGAATGAAATTTTA